AATTAGTATGTACACGACATATATATATATATATATATATATATATATATATATAATTAATAATTTCGAAAATATTTCAAATCTTAGATCCTAAAACTTCATAAATGAAAATAATTTTTACGATTATGTTGAATATTCAAATTATAACTCCTCTATTACTGTATAATATGTATGGTGTCAGGATTACCAACAAAGCGTAAAAACTTGATCATAGCTGGAAAATTTTAAGTTGAAGAAAGTTATATGACATTCGACGAATATTTAACTTGAAAATCGACATAAATAAACGTTAACGTTTTCACCATGCTATTCTCTTCCCTCTCAATCGCTTCACTTCATTCTCAACCTGCCCCATCTCCCCATTGCACTTATCTTCCTCCGACTGAGAGGGAAAAAAAAAAGTCCCTTTAATCCTCATCAGAAGCTTCCTTCCATCGAGGAAAAGCTTCAAAGCTCGACCCGAACCTGTCCCTTCGAATTTCCTTCGTTTCGTTTCGAACTTTGAACTCCCTCCTTTCCCCGACGTTCCGCTCGAAACATCGGCGTCCAGCAGGTGGTGGCAAAGGACGTGGCGGGCGTGAAAAGAGGACGACATCGCGCGCACGAGAGCTTTGTCGATTAAGCTTTGCCGCCGTCGATTTCTGACTTAACAGCCGTCGTCGTGTTGATGAAACGTCGTGCGTCGTCACTCACGGCCGTTGAAAGGACAACGAGACACAGAAATTGTACAAAGGTAGAAAGGTGGAAGGAGAGCGCGCGCCGACTCGAAACAGTAGCGAATCGTGTGTACTTTGCCGTCTGAAAAAACCGGAAAGAGGTCGAGCGTCTATTTCCGCCGTTGAGACGTCAGTTTCAGAGAGGATGTGTTCATTATTTAAAATATACCGAGCCATTTCCGACCGGTGGAAATGAAAGAGCACGATCATCTTCTTCCGGTTTCAAGATGAATTCTTTTTTTTCTTTTTCTTTCTTTCACAACGTTCGAATTACGATTATTCAATTAGAGAACGGAATCTTTTTTTTTAGAGAAATACAAGAGGATCTGTTGTTTTTATAAAATTCTATGGATTGAGATGAACGTGTTTCTTTTTTAATATAAACATCAATATGTTAAAAATGATATCAATACTTTAACCCTTCCTACATTTTATTATTAACACACGTAAGATGTAATTACATTCTCTCGTTGCATTCCTTGATTGCCTAATCTTGTTAATATACGAGTGCGAAGGGTTAATATTTTACCAGTCACCTGGTGTATTGGGAAAAAAATAAAAGTCCAATTTCTTTCAAACAGAGTTTCCTCGAGATCGTCGAACGCATTTCGATCAAACGAACACGAAATCAATCCATCCGGATATCATCCACCTCTATCCCCAGTTCAGGCACGAAGAACGTGTTTAAAAACTATCAAACTCCCTTTACCCGAACCCCCCCTCCTCCACCGATTCGAAACACGTCCACCTTCGAACGAACAACTTCGAAACAACTCGCCAGTTAACCGCCACGTTATATTCCGCCCCATCCGCTCTCCAGTCCTTTTCGACTTTATCCCAGGCGACCCTTTCCTTTCTTCTCCTTTCCATTCGTCTCCGATCGAATGTCATCGAGCATCCCCTCTGGACCACCCTTATCGTGTCCAAGTGGATGTTTTTACGCTTCGTCGGATAGCGTTACAAAATTTCGAAACGATAATTTATACATAGGCGATAATGGATTATCGATCGTAATTGATAATCTCAAATTGATCGATCGATTCATAATTAGTTTAAGACTTAGTTTTTTCACGAATGTTTTCAAATATTTTGAATTTCGAGGGTTCGATTTGGAGATTCGGCGCGCTCAATTCTCGTAGTAGAATGGGAAAAAACGTTTCTGGACGTTTAACGAGCATAAATATCTCGACGTTAATATATATTTTTTTAATAATTAATAAACGCGTGCCGTTTGTCAGCAATTAAAGTCAACTATTTCGACGAGAAAGAGTAGTGCCGCAACTTCAAAGGGGGTTAGTTTTTTAGGGGAATATGTCGGGAATGGCACGCTGTCATCCATTTTATGAAATATTTTATAGAATATTGCCTCGTCCGCCAGGCATTCTAATCATTTCGTTTCATTTTACTCTCTTTTACTTTCACCACCCACGAACGAAGAATATTGAAAATATTATAAGGTTATATATAGCGATGCGTGTGAACATACGTAGATACGTTGAATAATTAATTTTATGTCTTGCGTGTAATAAACGTCTAATCAATAAGTGTTTACCTGCGATTTTTTTAAAATAGCAGGGAAGAATTAAAAATTTCAACATTTTTAAAACATCCCATTCACTAGTGCTTCAAACTTTTAATCTTTGAAGGAATAAAAAGGATCGTTGGAAATAGCAATAGTTTAATAATAAATTATATTTAATTCGAAAATTTCAAAACAAATCTAACGTTTCATCATTCTTCCCTTTCTCCTTCTTTCTCGAATCCTACGAACTTTCCAATTTTACTAATAATACTTTAAAAATTATGAAACTTTCCTATTTACTTAAAAACACGGAATTTGCTGCATCTCGAAAATTAGAAGAGATGTTAAATATTTTAAGGATATATATATATATATATCTTAATCAATGATAGATTGTTCACCTGTATCCGTGCTACCGGGTAGAAGAATGGCGTCGTCGCGGAACCAGGAGGTGACCGTCAGATGCTCCTTCACGTCCTCCCTCGCGGTGCAAGATAAAACCGCGTTGCATCCCTCCAACACTGGCGATCTGTTCACCCTAACATCGTAGCCGGGCACCGTCAACACTGGAATCCAAACAGAGAATCTCGATTAGAAGGGTTGAACAACCAACTCGTGACCAACAACCCCTTCCGTAATTAAAGCGTCGCTTCATTAAACCTCCCCTTTCTTTTTCCGCTCCCCTCTTTTCCCCTCCGATTTTTACGCTCGAAAAGTTTGAAGTCTGTCGAAAAAGAAAGAAAGAAAGGAAGAAAGAAAAATTATGGTGGAAACGTCCTTGGACGAACGTTTCGAGTTTCTATTTGCACGAGTCGAAAGGGAGGAGGAATGGTTGATAAGTTTCGGGGGAGATTTCTTTCTTCCTCGAGAATCTCCCGCGGGGACTTGGAGTAACGCAGAGTTTATGGAACGTGGATTATAGAGGATTATTGATTCGTTTTCGACCGCGTTTCGTTCGGGATTCTCTCTCCAGTGGATTAAAACTTTGTCGAAGAAAAAGTTTTTCGTCAAAGATCGATCCTCGGCCCTCTGGGGAGGGGGGGGTGTAAGAATCGATCGTTCCTTCTTACAAGTTTAACAGCGATTTGTTCAGCTTTTGATTCGAGACAAAAGATATTTTTAGTTGAAAATTTGAAAATTTGTTTCGTTGATTTAGAATTATTTAATTGATATTTAATTTTTGATTTACGAACGAGTTGAATAGTTATTCCTTTTTTTTTTTTTTTTACAATTTTTATTTACAGCAAAATAAAGTATACAATATAACTATCATTGTTTCCACTCTTCTATTGGAAATTCGGTTGGAAGAAGGAAGATATTCGAACAAACAGAGGAAACAGAGGGAGGAAGAAAAAGACAATAATCCCATTCAATCCCCGGTGCGCAGCCGTAACATAATAACTCTTACAATATGAAAATCCTGGAGTACTCTCAATGAATAAGTACGCCTTTTGAATGCCACTTAATAACGAAACAATTTACTTATGACTTTAATGGTCAATTCAATTCCTCGATATTACCACTTTTTGGTGTTAAATTCAGCCAGAGAAATTTGCGTTTAAATTAAATTTAAGGAAATTTTTTTTCGAGCCTAGTTTCAGACTTCTATCTAGAATCATCGCACAATGAACAACGAAAACGCGTTAATTATATCTGTTCAGAAATTAACATTAAACGAAGTAATTTAAATCCAAAATTTCCAATCGAAAAAAATTACCGATAACTCGGAGGAAGAAAATGGGAAATGACTTATAATACACGATAATACGCGAGATAATTTACACCAATCGATCAACGATTTGTAAACAGAGCAGAAGAATCGACCGAGTATTTCATTCGAGAAACGCACACGACCTATAAAAGAGAAAACGTGACAGTGGATTGGGTCCATCCGATATTTACATAAATCCCCCTTTTCGCTCGATTTTTCACCAAACGTTCCACCTTGTTTACCGACACGTTTCGTTCGAATACCGAGGCAGGGGCTATAAATCACGTGGATGGACGTGACATCCGTTCCATATCCCGGGCGGGGAAATTCTTAGGATAAAAATCGACCAAACGTTTCTGACAAGACACCCGCGATCCTTGTTAAATCAACGAATCGGATCGAACAATCTCAAAAGTCTCTTATTTTCGAGAGAGAGAGAGAAGTGGCAAAAGAATCTGATCGCTCGTATTCCAATAAGATTTGGATTTAACGAACCTCTTTCCATTCCTTCGTCGAACGATCTTCCGTAATAATTTTATTTTGCCAAAAATAAATATTCTTGAAAGAAAAATAATAATTGTAATAATCGATACAAGATGTATCAAAAAGAAAATTAAACGGTGCTTTAACCGATATTCTTGGTTATTAAAATTTCCCTTTCATTCATCCAAAGGGAATCCAAAAGAAAAGGAGGACGTTTGTCGAGGTAAATTCCCTCGGCGGAGATAAGATTAGCGTCGCATCCGGAAATTCGTTTTCAGCTCCAGCAGTTCCGCCGTCGCCGCTCCATTTATTCCCAGATCTGACAGGTAGCTACGATATTGCTCTTAATAGCACTGTCAGCCAGGGCGTCACGCTGTTACGCGTCTCATTTCGGAGGCACAATTTAAGTATTAAACGTAACGCGTTTAAGTCACTTCTTCCCCGCTCCTGACATTCGAAAATTTTGCAATAATGCGAATATTCGTTCAAGGAGTACGTTCAATGTTGCTTGAAAGCAGGAGATTCAGGATGCGATTTGAATTATACCATTCTTTCCACTCGAAGATAATAATTTAATCTTCTTTACTTTTTGGGTTTTAACTTTTGTATTTTTCCAGAAGATACTATTCAAGAATAGTATTCCAGATCTTTAATTTTTCTTTGTTATCAATTTTATCTAAATATTCATTGTATATTGCTAACACGGGCGGAATTGATATTATGAAATTATTCCTTCAATTTGAACGTGAAATTATTCCACGTTTAAAGTTGCAAGTTTTTCTTAGAAAAAATTCTTCTCAATTTCTACTAGTCATTAATTTAGAAATAACATTTCGGATGGAAAGGAAATTCAAGGGACATTTAACGTGGCGTTAATTTTTTTAAACGACTTAGCTTTAGAAAGAATTTACTTGGAATTCTTGGAATTCTTGCTTACTTACGCGGAACGTAAATTGAAACCACGTAACTACCCGAAGAAACTTAGCAAAAGATTTAAATTACCGCGAGAGAAAGGAGCCTCAAAAGTGTCCACGAAATACCAAAAATACGACGAATTTAATTTTAAAATGTAATTTTCTGAGAATCGTTTCGATCGAATTTCCGCGATTAGATTATCAAGAAAATCGAAAATTTCAACGATCGAAAATTCGAAAAGATCCATCGAAATTTAAGTTAGAAAGTTAGCAAAAGATTTAAATTACCGCGAGAGAAAGGAGCCTCAAAAGTGTCCACGAAATACCAAAAATACGACGAATTTAATTTTAAAATGTAATTTTCTGAGAATCGTTTCGATCGAATTTCCGCGATTAGATTATCAAGAAAATCGAAAATTTCAACGATCGAAAGTTGGAAAAGATCGAAATTCAAAAATTCAAGATCCAAGGTTGAAGAAGAAACAAGGGAATAATTCCGTGGCATATAAAGATAAAACGCATTCGAATGATAGGAGACGAGAGGTGAGAACGGAGGCGTGAAATATCGGGGGCACAAAAGGGGGAGACTGGAAAGTCGAATCTTCTGGTCGATTGCTATTTGGAGACGTGAAAAATTAGGAAGCCACTTGGAGAACGCCGAGGCTGACGAATACCTGGATAACGATCAAATTCCGTGGGAGAGGAGGGGAAACGAAACGAAACGTGCAAACGAGGCCAATATGCGCAGATCTCCATCGAACCGGGCGAACGATATTTCCCGTCGATTCGCAGCCTGAGATTAAGTTCTTTTCGATTCACGGCACAAACCCGCGACATCTCCATCTCTCTCCCTAGATTGACGTAACACGCCGATAGATGGATCAATCCTTGAAGCAGTTCCGGTTTCTTTTTTCTTTTTTTTTTGAAGAGATATTTTTTTTTTTTTTTTGTTATTCTTTATGCATTGTCTCGTATCTTCGACAAGAGTCGAAGCGAAAGCTCTTTGCGTTTGACAACACATCCTTCTTGTCTTCTTTCCTTCTGCGTGTAATGTATTTGTATTTTTGAAATTTTCGTTGAAATTTTTCTTTTGTGCTGTTATCGTTGGAATTTTTGATAAATCGTTTCGATAGATAGTCGAAGTTGAAGTTTGGATTGGTAACTTTTACGGAATATCTTTGCCATCCTTTTATTTATTCTTGTGATGACATCGAAGTATCGAATTTTTGTTTTTTGTGTTCTTTTCTTTTTCTTTTTCTTTTTTTCCCCATTTTATGTATATAAAATTGGATGTTAAGTTGAGAATGTTATCGCTCTGATGGATATAAAGTTAGATATGAAGTTGAGGATGAAACGAAGATGGATGGCCCGTTCTTTCGAGGTTGAAGAGAGAGAGAGAATTTCTTCGAATATTTTTATTCGTATCCTCTTTTTTGGTTTATATATATATAATAATAATTTATTGTTATATCTTATTGGAATTTTCCTTATTTTTATTTTGTTTTTGTTTCGCATAAATAGAATTTAAATAGGATAGACGAGTATTCGCTTTAGCGAGTATTAAATTTAAAGTTGAAAATGAGGATAAATGGTTTCATTCATTGAAATTGAAGAGGTTTTTTCCCGCCTTCCTCTCCTTTATTTCTCGTTTAATTATAATGCAACGATCAGAAGAATTCCTCTCCGTCTAACAACATCGAGTCGAAAATTGAAATACAGATCATCCTAATCATCCTTTCAATTTTTAAATTCGAATCTAAACCAACACCAACAACAAACATGCGTAAAAATAATAATAAATAAAAGGATAACAGTAGATAAAAATTCCAAAGAAACTTTCCTGTTTCTCTGTAAAAAAAAAAAAATCCCTCTTCGAGTCGATTAATCGCGTTTATTCTTTCGTGGCATTCGGAAGATGATGATCGCAAGTGGCACGACACGGCTCTCTTTCGCGAGTGTAAAGCGAAAAAGAAAAGGAAAAAGGGGGAGGAGAGGAAAGATATACGAAGAGGAGGAAGCAGAAGGGAGGAGGAAGGAAGGAAGGGGTAGCACGGCTCCCCTTTTTTCCTCAGACAATGCAGCTCTCCTCGGGAATAAGTCCTTTGGCGGGCGACGAGGGTCGAGCCGATGTCATTTCAGATAAATTCCTCATCGCTTTTCACCGTGGTCCAGAAGGCCTCGCCTTCTCTCTGTATCTCTCGGCCCTTTCATACCCGCGATACCGTGCATCGAGAAGAGAGCGAGGAACGCGCGGAAATCAGCCTGCTTTGCTCCTCTTTAATCGAGTATTCCTTCTCATCACTGGTGTGATTCCATACGTGAATGCGGACGTCTTCCTTCTTTTTCAATCTCAAACAATATTTCTGATTTCTGCGATCCCGATTACGCCACTTTCAAAACACTTTGATTTTACTTCAACGGGGTTCACACGTTAATTTTGAATTTATTTAGGATTAGG